TGCTAAATTGTTCGAACTCGTTGTAATGAAGCCGTTACTTGCTCACTGTAAGCCGTATATTAGTATCGACCAGCATGATTTCATGGCTGGTCGCTCCACTGCCACTAACTTGCTGTGCCTTACTTCCTACATCTCTAAAAGTATGTCGGATCGTGCTCAGACGGATGTCATTTATATTGACTTATCTGCAGCCTTCGATAAATTGAAGCACCGCATATCAATCGGTGAAAAAAAAATATCAATCGCCAAACTGGACAGGCTTGACATCCACAGCTGTCTTTTGCTATGGGTTCAGTCGTACCTCATCGATCGCTATCTTACTGTTGTCATTGGTGATCACCAGTCCCGTATGTTCGCTGTCACGTCCGGCATACCTCAGGGTGTAACATGGGACCGCTGATTTTCCTGACTTACTTCGACGACGTGAATCTAGTAATTGAGGGACCACGATTAACTTACGCAGATGACCTTAAACTCTTTCTTCGAATTCACTCAACTGAAGACTGTTCCTTCCTTCCACTGATTGGTGTATTCTGAATCGTATGGAGGATAACCCGTGGACGGATCCCCTCCGATTGCCTAGCTACGAAAGTCGTTTGCAACTGATCCATCTGGAGCCTCTGTCGGTCCGAAGAGATACAACAATCAATGTTCAACCCAGAGCCATACGGAATAATTCAATGCTGCGATTGCCCATTAGACTGATGCAAAATTTGAAATTTTCGCTCCACAGTGCTCAAACGGTTCCAAATTGGGCCCTGATAAGCCTCCCAACATTTGAACTCATTTAGTGAGAAACTGACTTGGCACAAGCCATTTGAAGTTTTTATGGGAATAACTATGGAGAAACCATAATATCGGTTCATATCTATCTCAAAATTCACCAGTTTACTCTACTTTAGAAAATGATAACGGAGCTTGTTGAACATTTTCTCAGCTACAACTTTGCCCAAGACCACTTTTCGATCAAATGTAAGGAACAAAAGTTATGCATGATTCAACTCAATGATGTCTTATGATTATGCTCAATCAACTGTTCAGCAGGCAACATTGGTGTTTATGGCGCGTAGAATAGAGGACACTGCACACTGCAGAATACAGTGTTGCCCACAATACAGTTGCTTAACCTTGCCATAAGATTATCAATCTCTTAAACAATTAATAACTATTTAATTTGAAGTTTGACTGAAGAACAATTTTCTGCAAAGTTGTAGCTGATAAAAATTTCCATAAGAATGGCAATAGAATTTGTTAACAGTACAATATGTAAAAAAGCTAAAAGACAATGAACAAAAAGTTTTTTTTTTCATAGTAATTTCCATATAAACTTCAAATGGTTTGTGCCAAGTCAGTTTCTTATCAAATGAGTTTAAACTTTCGGAGGCTAATCAGGACTCGATTTGAAACCGTTTGAACACCGTGTAGCGAAAATTTCAAATTTTGCATCAGTCTATTGTCCATACTTACCTTACCAATCACACTAAGGCCTTGTTGTCCTCTGCTGTCCCAAGAAGCCGTCTTCACTCTTCTCGATCCATGGCCACAGTTCGCCAGCCTTTTAGTCTGCGCAGGGTCCGCAGGTCACCTTCTACTTGGTCGATCCACCTTGCCCGCTGCGCGCCTCTTCTTCTTGTTCCTGTAGGGGTCGCTTTCTAGAACCATTTTCACAGCCCACCGTAGTCGCCCAATTTTTGCAATGTGGACGATGGATGGTTCTCCCAGCAGACGGTGCAATTCGTGGTTCATTCGCCTCCTCCACGTTCCGTCATCCATCTGCACTCCACCGTAGATGGTACGCAACACCTTCCGTTCGAAAACACCAAGGCGCGTTGGTCCTTCATGAGCATAGTCCAGGTCTCGTGGCCGTAGAGGACCACCGGTTTAATCAGCGTCTTGTAGACAGTCAACTTCGTTCGGCGGCGAATTTTATTCGACCGGAGCGTCTTCCAGAGTCCAAAGTAGGCACGATTCCCTGCCATAATGCGTCTTTGAATTTCGCTGCTGGTATCATTTTCGGCGGTCACCAGTGAGCCCAAATACACGAACTCATCGACCACCTCGATTTCGTCACCGTCAATCTGAACTCGGGGTGGGAGGCTAACATTGTCTTCCCTAGAACCTCTTCCTTTCATGTATTTTGTCTTTAATGCGTTGATGGCAAGTCCAATCCGTCCTTCAGCCTTCAGTGTGATGTACGTTTCCGCCATCGTCTCGTGTCAATGTCATCGGCGAAGCCAAGAAGCTGGATGGACTTCCTGAAGATCGTACCACTCGTGTCTATCCCAGTTTTTCTGATCACACCTTCTAACGCGATGTTGAATAGCAGACACGAAAGTCCATCATCTTGCCGTAACCCCCTTCGAGATTCAAAGGGACTCGAGAGTGTCCCCGATACTCGAACAACGCACATCACTCGATCCATCGTCGCCTTGACCAATCGCGTCAGTTTATCCGGAAATCCGTACTCGTGCATAATCTGCCATAGCTGATCTCGATCGATTTTGTCGTATGCGGATTTGAAATGGATGAACAAATGATGTGTGGGCACGTTGTATTCGCGGCAATTCTGCAAAACCTGCCGAATCGTGAAAATTTGGTCCGTGGTAGCGCGGGCACCCATGAATCCCGCCTGGTATTGTCCCATGAACTCTCTTGCAAATGGTGACAGGCGGTGGCATATAATTTGGGAGAGTACCTTGTAGCGGTAGTTGCAGCAATTCAATTTGTCGCCTTTTTTGTTTATTGAACATACGACACTTTCCATCCACTCCTTTGATAATATCTTCTCCTCCCAATTCTAATTACCTAATGCAGCGCTCTAGCCAGTGCTTCACCACCGTATTTTAAATAGCTCACTTGGTAGTTGATCTACACCAGTTGCTTTGTTGTTCTTCAGCCGACCGATCTCCTCAACTTCTTGAAGATCAGGGGCCGGTAGCCTGTCATCTTCTGTGCGTGCTCTAAGGTCTGATGCCGTGCCACCTTCGTTTTCTGCTGCTTCTCCGTTGAGGTGCTCGTCATAGTACTGCTTCCATCTCTCAATCACCTCACACTCGTTCGTGATAAGGTTACCTTCCAAGTCCTTGCACATATCGGCCTGTGGGCACGTAGCCTTTGCGCGAACTATTTAGCTTCTCGTAGAACTTCCGTGTGTCGTTTACGCGGTACAGGTTTTCCATCGCCTCGCGATCCCGGTCTTTCTGCTGACGCTTCTTCCTTCGGAAAAAAAACGAGTTTTGTCTATTCCGTGCTTGTCTGTATCGCTCCACATTCAATCTCGTGCGGTGTTACAGCATTCTCGCCCGTGCTGCATTCTCTCCTCTACTAACAGTTTGCATTCGCCGTCAAACCAGTCATTTCTTCGGTCCGGGATCGTAGTATATAGTGCCATAATTTAATTCCCACATGTACGCGCTTGTTGATCATTTACCACGATTGCCACGCAACAAATCAAACGTCTATGTGGACGGAGGAAATTTCTAAATACATGCATCAGCTGGTTTAGATTGCCAGATAATCGTTCCAAAGAACCAACAACTTTTGAAGCCAATGTTGCCGGATGACGTTTCTACCACCGGAGTGATATTAAGGTGTCTTCTTCTTCTTCTTCTTCTTCTTCTTCTTCTTCTTCTTCTCCTTCTTCTTCTTCGCATTTCAAGCTTATTGCATTTCGCATATTAGCTTATTGCGTGCTCTTACTTAGTGTTCTAGATGCACTTCCACAGTTATTAATTGAGAGCTTTCGATGCCTGTACCATTTTTGCATTAGTATAATTGTGTGGCAAGTCCAATCATACTTCTATGTCCAGGAAAGTCGAGAAATTTTCCAACCCGAAAAATTCCTAGACCGGACCGGGAATCGAACCCAGCCACCTCCAGCATCGTCTTGCTTTGTAGCTGCGCCTTTACCGACTGAGTTAAGGGAGGCCTCATATTAAGGTGTGCAGAGTTTATTTTTTTTTTAAATTCTAAGTAGACCATTCCAATGTTCTTGGAATTACTCAGCTCAGCAATGAGAATGACTCAAAATTTGAATCGAATTTGAAAAGAGGCGAATTACAAAAAGTGGGGTTACTCAGTAAAAGAGTCATTGTTTCCCGATTTCCCAGGAAAAACTTCATGAATATGAGTACAGTTCAGAGATATTTAACTCAGTCTATCAGTATAGTCCTAGACTGAGTATAATTTTGGATGAGTTTCCTAATATTCATGCAGTTTTGTCCCGGAAATGTGAGGAGAATTTTACTCACTACTTTTTGCAATTTTAAGTACAATTTAACTCAGTTACTGAGCTACTCTCATCGGTCGTGCACCATCCTAAAGTTTACTGACCTGCCTTCACAGAAAAATCACACTTAAACGATGACGTTGAGACAGCAACCCATCGGTTCATCCTCGCCCTCCTACCTCCGAGCGTTTCGTACGCACTTACGACGGATTACGTCCACAAGAATGAAGCATGCAATCTCCCTTTCAACGATGGCTATTATTTTCGTGCTACTCCCCTTGCACCATTATTGCTCGTAAACAAATATATCACCCACCCCAACATGCTCGTAACGAATGGGGTGCAAAGAGCAATCCTGTGAAGAAAATTGCTTTTCTTTCGATTTCCCTTGTCAAAAAGTGGCTGCGTACTGGCTGCTCCATCGATGCAGCATCCTGGTCCAGGAAAAGCAGCGGCGCTTCTACCGTATAGCGAATCCAGGACACGCACACCAACCCATGCCCATCATCGGTGAAGTTTGCATCCTATTCTAGAACCAAACACCCCCGTTGACGGGAGGAGCAAGGTTTGTGACACACTCGAAAGGTATGACGCTGCGCGATGTGTTCTGCGCATTCCGTGTGGCACCCGAGCGGGAACCGGGTCGTCCCGAAGCGGTCACGGTGCAACGGCCGACCGGAACCCGAAGCCAAACTGGACCTGACCTTCTTTCCCGTTCGTCGTCGAACGCGACTGGCACTCCAGTTTTCCTCAGACTGTTGTCCGTGTGTGACGCGCGCGTGGCGAGTTTTGCTCTCGAGGACACGACGACGACGTGATATCTACCGCGGGTGTACGCTGGGAATTCGACGTTCCGTGCGAATGCTGTTTTTTTTTGTCTGTGAAGGGTGCTCTGTAATTTGCTGAAGCGATGCATCCTCTGCTGCTTGCGAAATTAATGGGGTGGGAAAATTAGAGGAGGAAACGCAGATGGGAGAGTCACAGATTCCTTGCGGTCTGCTCGTTGTGTGAAAATTTCCGCGGAGGAAATATCGTGTTGTTTCCGTGAGTTAAAGGTGCAGGTTTGATGGTTGTTTTCGTTTGGGAGTGAAAATTTCGGGGTGGAGATGTTTTCCATCTTAAAAGAGTGTGCTTTTTTCGCTCGCTGCAGCGAGACTGGGCGGAAGATGAAAGGAAAATGATTTGACAGCTGGCGACCAGCAGCAGATGCTTTCGGAGCACTCGGGGAAGGAAGAGATTAGCGGATTTGCTCGGTGAAAGGAACTGAGTAAATCGAGTGAGAATAAATTGCTATATTTGAAGTTGGGAGGCAGAACGGGGATTTCAAGTGCCGAAGGTGGTGCGGTAGGTGGAAATCAAACGATTGCCCAAAGTCGAGGAGAAATTCAGTTTGTTTGTGGTGAAGCCGTTTGGGATTTGGAAACAAAATTAACCACCAGTGGATTCCGAGAAGTGCTTGAAACCGGGCAGCTCTGAAAATTTCAAAACTTCAATTCGATTTGGATCTGGATTCAATCCCATCACGAAAGTGGGAAGGCTAAATTTTCCAAGAAAAAAAAGAAAAAAACAGGAGAAGGAACCCAACGAAACGTACGGATAACAGGAGAAGTCTCGACTCAGTGGAAATCATTGAGGAAAAATAAGTGTTCAAATCTGATTCGTGGTTCTAAACAATTTTCGCTCCCTCCCGTAAGTCGAGATTTTAACAATCAGGTGCTCGCTGGCTTCCGTGGTGCTCTTTTTACGGTTAAGCTACTTTCTCGCCCGTCAGTGCCAGTGCCAGTGTGGTGTGTAGAAAAGGTACGTGAATCCCATCGAATTACACATTCAGTCCCCAAAAAGGGTAAACCAGAAGAAAAGGCAGCAGAAACCAACGGAAGAAACCAGTGTGGGTGTGTGGGTTGTGTTGTGTTCCTGATGTGGGTGCTGGGAAAAGGGAAAAATTTCAAGTGCAAAGAAAGCCGATGAAGAAAGGAAACTGCCGATTCGCGTGAGAGTGCTCTGAAGAAATCGGGAGGATTTACCCATACGTGCTATCCTGTTCACGAGAGATTTGTGTTTTCTGTTTACGGAAGTAACGGATGTAGGAAAAACGGTCTACATTTTGGCATTTTCCAGTGTGAACAAGAACGCGTGCTTGCCAGATCAAACGTCAGGACTTCCTGAATACATGTAAGTATATAGGCAATCTGGGCTTTTAAAGATTCGAGCGTCGATCACAGCATTGTGGCGTAATGTTGTAGGGGAAATATCTCTCAATAAATTGAATGTTCGGCAAGCGAGTGTTTCGTTGATTAGCTACTTTAAACTACATTATTCGTTATTGTCGGGCAACTTAAGCTGAAAAATGGTATCTAACTTGACCTACATTGTTCACCGGACCCTTGGTAATGAAAAATGAATTAGTTTGGAATATACTCATGCGATTTAAGATTTTTTTCATTTTGAATTTTTATGCCCTTGCAAATTTAGCGGAATTTGAGATTTGAAATCTGATAATTTTTTTTAACCGAAACGATATGCAATCTGAAGCGAAATTCCACGAAACCTGACGAAACGCTACAGAAATTTCCACGGAATACATAAAAAATAAGTTTTTTTTGTGGTCGAAACAAACCGAGACGAAATATTTTTTATATAGAATATGCAGGATTATCGAAGACTAGCAGCATTACATAGAAATAAGCTATTGATTGAAAGAATTTAGCAGAATTAAAAAAAATTGAGTAGGCTGCCCAAGTAACCACCATGCCCACTAATAGCACACTAATCGCCCTTTTTGCAATATAAGGTTAATATAGGGCTTCCAAATTTTATATCAGTCGTATATCAGCTTTATATTAAAAAAAAAAGGCGATTATGAGGCTTGTTGGTTACTTGGGTGATTTGGATCCCTGGTCCAGTACCACGCTAATCGGATTTTTCATGAAATGAAACAAATATACTAGCTCTCTTGATCTAATGAGAGTTCGCGCAAACATTTTTTTACGTGGGACTACGTCTGTGATTTCTATATGGGGGTACACTTTGTGAAAACCGAAAATGGAACATGTAACGAAATTATGAAAGATTTTGAACGTTAATAACTCAGCAGCCCCTGGATCAATTTCAATAATTTTATCACGAATCTACCACAAATTTTTCTATGCATCGATAGCATTGTCTGTTTGTTTTCAACAAAAATTTATTGAAAAAGTGGTACATGTCAAGCATTGTCCAAAAACGTCGAAATATCTAACAAATCCACCAATTACGTACATGCATATGCTGCTTCCCCAACACAGTCATCAGATAATCGTTTCTTGAAGAAACATGTCGATGTAGCATTGCAGCTTCCCCAACACTTTCATCAGGAAGTCGTTAGTAGATGAAACAAGTCGAAGAGGCATTAACCTGCAATCTACGGGCGCGTGCAAATAGGGAGGATACAATTGCGTAACATTCTCAAGTAACCACCAAGCCAGCTAATAGCCTGATAACCGCCCTTTGTAGTAGTATCTGAAGGTGGCTTCAAAAACCTGTTTCCTACCTAGTTCCTGTAGATAATAGGACAAATATAACGTTTGTTATGCTGACATTCATTAGAGATCGATAGTAGGCGAAATATATCGTTTGAGGTAAAGAAAATGATCGGTGAAATCAATAGTAGGCTAGTTGATATAAAGGACACAATAAATGAGTCTTAAGAGTGAGTTCGTAACGAACGGAAGCAAAAAATAAAAAAAATCGGCTGTTTAGCGAAAACTAGAAAACAGAAAGAAGGTTCCAATTAAAGCCGCTTGGGAATGGATGGTTCAGAAATCGAGTCCGGTCACGACAGTTCCTTCCAATCGAAATTGATAATTTCGTCCGCGTGCACGTGCACGTTAAGTGCACTCTATGAAACACCCGTGTCCAGCAGCAGTCACGCGGATACTCTTCCGAGTGCCCATTCATCGTAGCAAGGTTGAGGTTTCCCTCGCTGCGGCCTTCCAACCTGTCCCAGACACCAGTTTAACCCCTGTCCTGCAGCAGATGGGCCGGGACTCTTGCGAGCGCCCAATCATTGAACCGAAGAATATGGGATTGTCCGGTACGATTTGCTGATCCAGCTACACGCTACACCAAAACGTTTTGTTTTTTCCCGTGTCTTGGACATTTACCACTGCTACCAGTGTTTTGATCTATTGTGGTGTATCCTTTTTTACTATTTGCCGTGTGTTTTGATGATCAACCACTATTTAGAGTGATCTTCATCATTGTTCATCGGCATTATCCCAATATGGGATTGCACTTCAAATGAAGTTTACAACTTTATTCGGTATATTGGTCCAAATTTCTCCAGGTACGGTGAGTCCTTTATCAATAAATCTGCAACGTATATTAAATAGTGAAGCGTAATCTCACAATAAATGTTCAGAGCTTTCGCTAAGTCTTCCAATTTTCTTTTTAAATTATATTTACTAGGACAATGTCCTGTTATTAATCCAGTGTAGGTGCTTAAATCTGTTTTTGGAAAGATTGAGTAACCTTTGCGTACGTTGCGTCGTCGAGCTGTTGAGGTATTATTCCAATTGGATTGTACCTTGCATTTTCCCAGTTCTTCAATTTTCAGATTTGAAGGCGATAGACCAATGAACGGTTCGGGACCAATAAATTGCTGGGATGAGCCAAGCTTTGCTAATTCATCTGCTTTTTCATTTCCTTCAATGTCGCAATGACCAGGAAACCAATATAGATTTACCTTGTTACGACAGGACAATTTCCGAAGTTGATTATAGCATTCCCACACTAACTTTGAAGTGTAGATCATTGATTTTAGGGCCATTAAATGCTGCTTGACCGTCCGAAAAAATGCATGTGTTTGCATTCCTATAATTTCTTTTTAAACATATTTTTACACATTCTAGAATAGCAAATATCTCTACTTAGAGTACTGTTGGCCATTTACCCATTGCTAATGAACAGTTCATTCCGGGACCTGTTATTCCTGCCCCTACCCTGTTATCCTGTTTTGAGCCATCCGTGTAGAATGTTATGGACCCAGGATGAATTAACGGCCCTCCAGTCTCCCAGTCGTTACGTGTTGCATTAAATACATTGAATAGATGGTTGAATTCATGTGTTGTTGCCATAAAATCTTCATTCTTTAATATTAGTGGAATTAATTGAATCTCTTTCAAATTGCTCATATGATTTTTAAGATCTCCTTCAAAGAGCTCTTTTGTTCGCCTGAGTCTGAGAGCATCCCAAGCAGCACACATCCATCAAAATAAGATGCTGCAACTTGATTGTGACTGAAATAAGTTACATACAAGTAAGCACAACTGTTCAGTGACAAGTGTGCTGCTAGGGACTGTTTATTGCATCCAGTTGAATGAATTGATGTAAAGGAAGAAGATTAAGGAAAGCTTCTAAGGCTTTAGATGGAGTACTCCGCATTGTTATGGAGGTACCTCTGCCGTTTTTGAAGTCCTTGTTGGGTTGTTTTTTGCACTGTTTTTGGCCAAAAAACAAGTGATGTATAGATTGTTCTTGGTCTTACTATAGCTGAATAAATCCAATGTAGCATTTAAAGTTTGAGTCCCCATTTCTTACCAAACGTCCTTTTACTAATCCAAAGAGGTTGGTTTTTTTATAACTTGTTCTATATGTACATTCCAATAGAGTTTACTATTTAAAGTTACTCCTAAGTATTTAACTTCCGAAGAATATTTTAATTCTGTTCCTTCCATAGAAAGTTTTGAAAATAGGCCTTTCGGTCTTTTTGTAAAGGGTACAATCGTTGTTTTTGAAGGATTTATTTTCAATTCTTCATTTTTATGGAAATTTGACGACAAACTGATAGGTCTGAATGATTTGGGAGAAGTACTACTCGAACTTGTCGCCACGTTGTAGGAATATTTCTAAACAAAAAGCTTGCTCTAAGAAAACTAACTAAGGCCGGAATCAATACGATTTTACCTGGAGATTTGAAGAGTCTATAGCCCATGCAACTTAAGAATTAGTAAACATTACACTTGCTAGATTTTTGCCTGTTCATTGGACTGTCTTGATCCATTTACTAGTGAAATTTACAACATATAAAGCGGAAGTAGCCGGCAAAGACCCTGGTAAATGAGATTGCATCAGTACTTTCAAGGTTTCTTTAGTAGTTAAAAAATCATCTTCTTTTTTAAGGGCTCCTAAGCCGTTTGCATGATCCTTAGAAAGGACTTTTTGAAGTCTTACGGTAACAGGAGTACTTTCGAGTAAAGATTGGATTCACTCAGTCTATTGGTACTACTTCGAGACTGAATATTTTTTTTTGTAAATTTCCTCATTTTCCGGCAGATTTTTTAGGTTTTCCACAGGAAACCATGAGACAAATTTTACTCATCGCTGAGTTCCTGCACTTTTGGCGATTATGAGTGAACTAAACTCAAATTTGAGTCGTTCTCATTCGCCGTGTGGCTTGTTTACGTTTGGAACCAGTTATGCGAGGCAGGCGACGATTGTTCGTATTTGACAGCCAGCGATCAGCCGGGATGTACCTATGTGAATCATAATACCAAAAGTTTTCGTTTTACCGGGTGAATGTTGGTAAGAATCCTCATTAAAAACGCACGCACGTATCCACTCCCGGCGCATGATTGGGTCCTTTGGAAAATAATAGAAATGAAGCTCTGGATTCGCTTTATCGCTTCTTCCACAACCGATCACCTTGCACTTCTTTTTGGGAATTTGAAACGAACCAAAATCTAGCACATTCAAAGTGTTTTTATGTTACTTCAAACGCGAAGTTTGCGATTTTCAGAGTTGGTTGGAAATGCTATCTAACATGAAGATTTAGTATGATAATTTATTAGCTAGATAATGATCTTAGAAGAGGGTAGGTAGATAGTTCCGTTAGAGTATGGCAGTATGAAAATTGAATAGAAGTTTAAAATGAGCGAAGGGCCCAGCGTTGCTAGATTGTTTTCTAGCTTATCGGTATGAAATGTTTAAAAAAATCGGTATTTATCGGTATTGACAAGTTTAAATAATTTTATATATGTGCCGTTTTTGTAGGAGAAAATTAAAACTACTTTTGGACTTAGAACGGAAAAAACTACTTTCCAGGAGAAGTCAGAAATAATGTCCAGAAAGTTTGAATTAGCTTCTCCAGGATGCCGAGAAAACATCCAGAGAAAGAATTAAGAAGCTCTTCTTAA